ATTAATGAAAAATAGATCCAGCAATAAGCAACAGTCGCTGCTATCACTTAATGCTCTGAAACAAGATTTGCCAGCCATGAAGTTCAAGGGCCTGATTACAGATAATGGACTTAAGCTTCCTGTTGGGAATTTGCTCATTCTGCAGCCTCAACAGAATTTGAACTTTTGACATTTCCATCATGCTGTAGCTTGACTAGAGGTAAAATAGAAGCAGCTGTGGTGAAACTGCTAATGGACTAACTGAAATATATGAAATCTTTCACTCAGCTGGACCACCAGGAAGTGTAGTTGCCCTGGAAAAATGTAGTATTACTAGAAGTAGGCTCAAATTTAAAGTGAAAAAATTCTGAAATAGGAGTTTCCACCCCCAATTTTAAATTGAATAAAGCTTAGACACTAGATTCAGCAATGTGCCCTGGCAGCCAGGAGGGCCAACCCTGTCCTGGGGGCATCAGGCCCAGCAAGGCCAGCCGGGCAAGGGAGGGGATTGTCCTGCTCTGTTCCGCTCTGGGGCAGCCTCACCTCCAGTGCTGGGGGCAGTTTTGGGTGCCACAGTGTAAGAAAGACATTAAACCATTAGAGAGTGTCCAAAGGAGGGCACAAAGATGGTGAAGGGCCTTGAGGGGAAGCTGCATGAGGAGCAGCTGAGGGCACCAGGTCTGTTCAGCCTGGAGGAGGCTGAGGGGAGACTTCACTGCAGTTACAGCTTCCTCATGAGGGGAAGAGGAGGGGCAGGCACTGAGCTCTTCTCTCTGGTGACAGTGACAGGACCGAGGGAATGGCCTCAAGTTGTGTCAGGAGAGGGGTAGGTTGGATATTAGAGATTCTTCACCCAGAGGATGGTTGGGCACTGAACAGGCTCCTCAGGGAAGTGATCACAGCACCAGCCTGACAGAGTTCAAGAAGCATTTGGACAGTGCTCTCAGGCACATGGTGTGACTCAGGGATGATCCTGTGCAGGGCCAGGGGTTGGACTTTGATGATCCCTGTGGACCAAATCACAATATTCTATGATTCTCTGTTTAAAATTCATTTGCTCTTGTTGGGCTTTTTCACACAGGAGTCCCTAAGTCTCTTACAGAGTCAGTGGAGACAAAGAAGTTCCTCTGAAAGCTCAGTGGACTTCAGACATGCAGGTGAGGCCAGCAGGATCTTACTCCTCTGAAGCAGAGCTTTTTGTTTATTATTCCTAAATATTTTTACAGTGTCCCAAGTTGAAGCTGTCTTTATAAACTGAGATCTCACTGTGATGGTAAATCCTCTGATACACACAGGAGAGTGGCCAGAAGTTTAATTTTGTTAGGTCACATACCACCATGTGGGAGCCTAGTGCCAGAGGAAGGACAATAGACTCTTCGTTTATTTCAGTGTCCCCAAATGGGTTGACAGGGAGTGGATGCTATATATCTTCCTGGTTAGACTTGTCCTGTTTTATTTTGGGGATCTTCAGTGAGCTAAGGCACAGGCATCAAGTTCTTCCTTGTTTGTCAGCATCCCTGATCTCCAGGGACTCCAGAGAGCAGTTAGAATATGCATTGAATTGCTGCTCTTCTTGAGTAATACAACACTGCAGCACTGTTCTGCAGTGCTAGCAGGCAAGCTTCAGAATGATATACCTGTGACATTTAAGATTTGTAGAGGTATACACATATTTAAGTACCTTACATGCCTGTAAGGATGTGTTGCTATGCCCTTTATATTATGTACACAAACCCATACACAATCAGAGAAAATGAGGGATGTCAGGTAACGTGGGACAAAATACAAAGCAAGGTTTAATACTACACTGCTTTCCCATTTTTGCAGAGATAAATAAGGGTACAAAACTGTCAAATAATTTGGTCGATGTAATTACTAACCTGTAGCACACAGCGATGCTTGATGAACTGATTTGTCACAGTAGTGACTTTGTAGGCACGCTAACATAAGCACAGAGCTTTGGCCCTGAATAAAACTTCTTTAGTTATTAGGTTATTAATGGAAAAAATTAAGGCTGTCTAAATGTGACCCTTGAGACAATCCTCAAATTTGTTATTTCTAGCCCTTAGGCCATTGCCCTATGTGATTTGTGTTCAATCACAAAAAAAATAATCAGGGTAAAGGTCTGCCAGAGATATATAGCAAATTTAATTAATAGTAAACAGACTAAGTCTTCTAAAATATTATTGTTCCACAGTAACAATAAATGGAAAGAATAATTGAATGAATGACTAAGAAAATAATTAAAAGCAGTAGGCCCAAACTGGCCATGTACTCTTAGAGACCTTAGCACTAATTTAATTGAGTTCCCCCTGAAGCCATCTTTTCTCCATCAAGCCATCTCCTTACTTCATCGAGCTCTCTTGATAAACACACAGATCCCTCAGCCTCTCCTCACAGGGCAACTGCTCCAGCACTGATCATCCTCATGGCTTCACTGAACTCAGTCCAGTCTTTTAAGGTGTTTCAGGTATGATGTTGGAGGGGGAAAATAGGGTGCAGTATCTTGGATGTGGTCTAATGAGCGATGAGTAAATAATCTATTGATTGTGTCTGGCTAACACAGCCTTCTGACCTTTGCTGCTGCCTCACACTTTGTCATGACTGCAAAGCCAAGGTGTCAGGCAAATAATTACTTTATGTAGCAAGAGCTGCAAGATGACTTGGTTTTTTCTTAAAAGATCAAATCTGGAAAGATGCTGAACATCAGAACATCAGAAACTCCCTTCTGGGATGCTAAAATCCAGAAACAGACTGAATTTAATCAATAGGAGAAACATGCAGAACAGTCAATGGCAAGAACTTCAAGGCATTGATTTAGTTTCCAGAAGCTGCAAAACAAAGTTTCATTTCCATCCAGTGCACCTGCATAGGAAGACATCCACAAGCAGACTGTTCATAGACTGTTGTCTACAAATTAGTTCTGCTAGCAAGTGATAGAGTTCCAAGTGGGACAGAAAAGATGCTTTCAAGGCCAGAGACTGCTTACATAAAAATAGATGAAACAAGAAGAGCAGGTGAATTTCAGAGAAAGGAGGAAATACCATAATAATTACCATGATGAAGTAAACCCACCCCCCCAGGGTCATCTGCACCGAAGACCTGCCTGAACTATTTCACCGACAGTAGGAGGGTAGATATGAGTAGTTTTAAAGAAAGCATGGAAATCTATACAGTTCCCCTGTGAATCATAGAATTATTTAGGTTGGAAAGGACCTTTAAGATCATTGAGTCAAACTGTTAATCCAGCACTGGCAAGTCCACTCCTGAGCTATGTCCCTAAGCACCACATCTACGTCTTTTAAAGATGCAGAATTTTGTACAAGGAAGAACTCCAGTTTTGCTGAGGATTAACACCTCAGAGTGAAGTTGATCACTGGTATGAAACTTAACAGTTGAGTGGAGACAGGAAAGGGAGGAGACACAAAAGCTGAATCAAACGGACTCCTGGTGTTTTTATACAATGGCATTTGGAAGACTAGCAAAACAAGTAGTCTGAGAAGTCAAATGGTTCTAGTAACTTCAAAATCTTTAAAGGTGTTTTCAGTAAGTTTTAAATTGCTGTAGTAAGCTAATTTTACTAAATTAACAGTGGTGCTTTCTTATGATTGTGTCCTGACAAAACCTGACTAATGCAAAATTTCAAGTGCACCATAAAATCTTGGAATAATGGTAAGTCTGGTTAAGGAGGGTAGCCATGTTTTGTAATTTTCAGTTTCTGCTAGGCGTGGAAACTGGGGGAAGTGTGTGACCTGGCAAGGTACCTACCCATCTCCCCTGCTGCTCATAGAAAACAAATGCCAATCCTAATACTTGCCCCTCTCCCACAGTTTCATAAAATAGCATAGACGGGGTTTTTCTTTCTGAGGGGGAGACAATCTGGGGTGTTTTCCTAGCTGCTCATGCAACTTCCTCCATTTCAGGAGTGGCTTAGTGGGAGAAAGTGTGGACTTACCAGTGAATGAGGTGGAAGGAAAAGAACTTGCTCTATACATTAGCCCTAACAAGTATACTGGTCTGTCATGCCAAGGAACAATGTGTAACTCTTGATTAGACAAGGATGGCATTCATCTACCGCTTACACTGAAACCCATGTGCTTCACGGCTGTAGGCATATGACTGCATGTACCAGCTGCTGTAGAGATGTACAGAAGAACTGATTTCCTGCCCTAGGTGATCCATAAGTTGTATTGAGATATAAATGAAATTAGAGCCTGGAGAGAGGAAGAAAGTTGAGACAGAAGCTGGGATATCAGTGTCCTGAAATTTCACATATGATCTATAAAAAGTATTTTCTCCAAACCCTTAGCAAAATAAGAAATTATCAGATGAGTTTGATCTTTGATTTCTGCCTTTATTGGGAAACTTTTTTTCCAGATCCCTTTTCAAAATAGAGTTCTGATTGGTCGTGAGTCTATTCACCATTGCTACAGACAAATTCTAGAGCAAAGAAGGGAAGGAATAATGTCTTGAAATAGATGTAGAAGAAATAATGAAGAACATACTGTATCCTATGCTAGTGTCACTGCAGAGTTCATATGTGGACTGTCATGCAGAGAACAGCAACACAGGAAGCAGCAGTGTTGTCAGAAGATGTCTCTAGGGAGGTTTTCAAACTTCTTGCAGCGGCTGTTCACAGAGGTTAAATAAGAACATGATATGTACACATATGTGTCTGGTATCTATGCAGGCAGACATGTAGTGTGTCCATTCAAAGCACACATATCTGATTTTCAATGAGATCAACTCTCAACCCCTCATTTGTCCAATATATAGGCCAGCTGTATGAGATTCACAGAAAAATGTCTTCTGGAGAACATAAGAAACATGGACAGACTGTTTTTTAGGGATGTCATGATTCCTATCTAAAGAAGCTCTGGGCAGATGGGAGTTGACACACAGCTATTCTGGACTTACAGCTGGTTGCTGTAAACAGAGTCTGATTCCAATAGTATTCATTCAGAAACAAAACAGGAGAGAGAAGCTGTCTGTCTTAAAATAACTAGAGTTGGGACACTCACCTATTACACAGAATGGTTTCCTCGCAAAGCGCAGTCTTCCTTGCCATCCTCGGTATCGACAACAGCACCCAGCAGACCAGATACGAATAATAAATTCCAAACCAAAGACAACAATCATGACAAATTCCTAGAAACGAGAGAAAAGAAAAATGCCTGTTACAGGTAACCAACACTTAACCATCAGGAAACTCATAGCTACTGTTTGTGTCTAACAATCCTCCTTGAGCATCTGAATATCCTAAGCCAAACTTGGGATCCTGCTCCCAAGGATGGTTAGACATCTACAAGCAGCACACAGATCCCAGAACCTCACAGTGAAAGGTCTAAGGCTAACCTGAATAACATTAAGTATCAGCTAAGATTGGCTACTAAATATGAAACACTGAAGAACTGAATAATACACAAAAATATCAGAGCAAAATACTCAAAGACTTTGGGTGTTGAGCATCAGAGTACAGGTAATTTATACAGCTAGTGAAAAGTGATCGACATCCACATCCATACAATCAGTTCCTAGCTTAAAGACTAAAAGTTTTCAGAGATATATTCTCATTGTTGTAATATACAGATGAAGTAACTGAGATTATGAGTTTGGGAAATAAATGAATGACCACCCTAGGCATAACTTTCCCTGCATAATCTGCATTTAGAAATATTGCCTTGCTTGTTTGGCCTGCTTTTCTTTCATATTGGAACCTTTTTCAAGACTATCTATTTTAAAAGCACCAACATGTATTTATGCAATTTTTATTCTAAGAAAATTTTCATTAGAACAGTGAGGTCAACAGAGTTGCAGTAATAGAGTTTGGAGCACAATTCAGCTCCATACCCTAAGGAGACCTGCAGCACAATAATATGTAGTGATATAGTACATACACACTGAATCACAAACTTAGATACTCTTCTGGAATACCATCACAAAGTCATGTGTTTTGAAACGACAAAATAAAAATCTGTGTGTTCACAAAAGGAAAAAAGTACTTGATGGAGTTTCTTAAGCAGCCCATCAAGAAGAAAAGGATGGAAGCTGTGTTTTGTTTGGCAGCCCAATGTATTTCTGTGTCCAGAAGTAAGTTGTTCCTTGTCAGCCAATTAATTTGTTATTCCTGCAGGATGAGGACTAGTGTTGTACCAGTAAGAAGGCACTGCAAATGAATTCAATACAGGAATATTTACAAGGGTAAGGTTGATCCAATATTGCTTTTTTCCCAATAAACATTTTGCATGCTTTTAGACTCTGAGACCCTACAACTCTACAAGCCAATGTGTCAACTCAGTCATTAATTTACCTGAACAAATGGCATTATTAATGTTGTGCTGCATAATGGTTCTTTACTAGATTATGATTAGTGGCAGTCTACTGAAACATTGTGGACTTAATTGCTTTTGCTGTCATAGAACAATTTGAAAACATAGTCTTCCTTCCTAAAACATGGCAGCTTGTGTAGCTACACTACATTGAAAGCACTTTTAGAGCCTTCTTCAGTGTCTTCATTTTTGGCTTTGTAAATCCCATCTTGAATGGCTAAATCACAAAAGTAGAATAACCTCTGTTAAAACGTGGCTGAAGAAAATGCCACATTTTTTATTAGAAAAGAACACATGGAAAAATGAGTGTGATTGTTAAAGCTTTTCTTTTTATTCCACTACAAGAAACTTCAAATTAATTCCATGGGCAATGTTATTGCATAACTTCAGAAAGGATTATGTACAAAACTGAAAAATCTCCCCATATAGTAACAATAATTCCTAATAGTTGGCTACCCTGTGTTACATTTCCTTGTAGGAAATTCTGTGTAGGCCAAGAATAAAATGGACAGAAAGCCAACTGGAAAAAAGGAAGAATATGTATTTTAGTTATTTAACTACCACTTTTATAGTGGTAGTTAAATCATGAATTGTCAAATCTGGTTTACACATTGTTAGATGATGCCTCTGAATTTATGAGGGTTGATGGCAGGCATCCAGACCATCTGACATCTGATTCTCCTAAGGAAGTTTCTTCTTCGGGATAGGGTAAGAGATACTGAAGGAAAGGGGGTCTGAGAAGCACGGAAAATTCTTTGCTTCCAATAAAATTGTTTCCTTGTTAAAACTTAATCACATTTCATTTGACTAAAGTTTGTTGTTTCCCTGGAAAACATACGGTGTGTACAGATGGGCGATACATTTTGTAAGTACAGTGAAATTGTCCCAGGCATCTTATAGAAGCTGATCCACACAGGAGTGTGTTCTCTCCTGTGCTCTAGACCCTGGCAGGGCCTCTGATGGGGAACTGGCAAGGACAGAAAGTACTTAACAATCCTGGAAGGACTAGTCCACAGCTTCGAGTCAGTTCAAATAGTATTGCAAAACTGCTGGTAAGAGTTGGAAAGGGGTAATTTTTTTGGAAAGTTTACTCCTCTGGCTCCTACCAGTGCTATGCAGTTTTGTATTTATCACCTGTACCATTGTTATCCATTACTAGGTGCTGTGCTTGCTCAGTGAGACAAAGATGAGAAAAGTTATTGTGTGCTGAAAGCACATTTCTAAGAGTCTGTGTACTACCTGATGCCTTTGTGTGTTAGAGACAGAAATCACATTTGTCTCTCACACACAAACACACATACTAAACAGAGAATACATCTATTTGGGGAGATAAAAAGAGCAGAGATATTTTCTCAATTTTTTTTTTTTGGTGGGTGGGGTAAGAGTATAAGATTTTTCTTGAGGAAACAATGTGAAATATCTCTGTTCATTCCTTGAGAAAAACTTAACATTTCTAGAACCATTACAAATTTATGCATGGTTATATTGTCTCAAAATTAACTAAGGTTTCTACTACTTAAACAATTTAACAACTGTAGTTATATTGAGCTGAACTACAGTAAATATGTCTATGTGCTGGGATGCTAAAATAACTGCTGCATTTAAAAATGCTATATATGATTTTCTTCTATCCATAACAAGTTTCTGTAGATTTTAAAGTATGTTATAAGCTTTAATAAAAGAAAAGACATTGAAGAAAATGAAGATGGTGTTTCACACTTATTTTTGTATTTAGTGAAGTAATGATGTTTCAAACGGATTTTTATATCCTAATGACTCCTACTTCCTCAGAGAAAATATGACTTTTTAAGGGAATAAATATAAAATATAATAAAGTCTAAAGGGAAAGTATTTTCCAAAAAAAATTGAACATTGAAACAGAACTCTTCATAGTAGTACCCACAATTGTTTTGTTTTATTTTGGATTGGTTCAGGTGAAAACCAGAGAAAGACAAAGAATTCCACATTACTGTGTAAAAAAGTAATGTTTTAGTAGGCAGGGCACTCAGTCAAATATTAAGGCAAATCTCTGTCAGGGTTCATACAGGCTGGGGAATAATATTTTGTCTTATGGCAGCTGTAAGGTTACAAGGTTCTTGGTCTTCCATGGGCAAAAATTGGAAGGATACACCCCCAAAAAGATCAGGATTTTAATTTTTTTAAAATTTCATTTGGAAGGCTTATTGCCAACTTAAGCATAAATCGAGGCTTTGAAATATCTTGGGTTCAGTTCCTTAGCAATTGAAACAGGAGATCAGAACATAATTGGAAAGGCATGTGATGGAATAAATCATTAGATTTCGTGCTTTGTAGACTTGTAGACTGAAGAAATAATGCATTCCAAGTACCTCTGTCCTACATATAATATAATGGAACTTCATTAATTTTGAATTACTTATGAGAATGAGAAACAACATTTATATCAGAATGGGAAAATCTTGCACTGTCTATAAATCTGTCCCTCTTCAAAATCAAGCAAGGCTGCATTTGAAGTGATGAGCAAGTTAAGATTTAATGGAAACCTAACCCTTCCCTTCCTAGGTAGAGCAGAAGTGCATTGGCCTTTTCCATTTCTTGCTTTTCCCTATCTTGTTACTCTTTTCCAATCACAGCTGCATTTATCCTTACACCAGAGATACCACAATCTGTCACTTTTTTTGGCTGCTCAAGCTCACATTTAGCACCTCCCAGTAACCACTATGGCAGATGCATTGATGGTTCAGGCAGAGGAAAGTTCTTCTTCCTCCTCAAAGCACAGTTCATCCAAACTGATGAGCTTTTCCTTCTGAAATGTTCCTGCACATGCAGCTCCAGTTGTCTTGGGGAACCATGCACATGCAAGAGTCACACTTGGGCTGACAAGGCTCAGTTGCTTTTGGCTAGTGTACTCCTGAAGAGTTTTACATCTGTGTGTTCCTGGGTTGTTACACCACTGAAACAATGAGGGTCACACAAATGGCAGCAAAAGAAAATAAGAGGTCATCAAGAGCAAGGTTTCTGTTAATAAAAGGTCCTGGAGGGCTCTAATCAACAAGACTGATGATTAAGCAAATCAAGCATACTTTGTACAATCCAGCACTTTCCCCCCCTTTTTTTTCCCCTCCTATCCAATTAGGATACATGATTTGTTGAAATTGTTTATTTCTCAGGAAGTTTTTAATGATACGGATTACCCTAAGCATAACATTTTAACGGCAAAGAAAAGTTTATATAATAGCTTTCTCACTCTTTAGTATAACTGCTTATTAAAACTGAAAATAATTTGCTGATGATGAATCAGGTGCCTGTAGACTGTAACTTTGGGGAATTAGAACAATTTTTGCAATAAGAAAATGACCAAAGTTGAGCACTCTATGCTGGTCTAGGATGCTTCTGGTTATTTTGCAATGTGGAAATGAGCTGAGGCTTGGCTATAAGAAATCCACCCCCAAGGCAATGTCTCTGCTCTTATTTTAATTATATTTCTTGTACAGAAATAGTGATTTTAATTATTCTAAAGGCTAATGAAGTAGCACAACAGAGCTGCAGACTGATGTGAGAAGCTGCCTGCCTTGAGCTCATAGGAGAACTGTGTTTACAACTGACTTTGTCAGAAGTTGGAGAAATGGACAAGAACAGACCAAATGAATCCTCTGAAATAAGCTTTAGTAGGGCCACAAGTGTTTCTCTTCTGAAGACAACATCTCTGCAGTGTAGCTGCACTGCAGATCCTCATTTGGTGTAAATCAGTGAGCATCACTACACTAACACAGCAGAACATGAGGAACAATGTCATCTGATAGTGCTTGGGCTATATCCCCTCTTCCCTAGAATCTCATA